TTTCGTGGATTGCATGGCTCCTGGCACTCATATGACATATATATATATATATACTGTATATACTCTAGAAGTCCAAAGACTATATTTTGACTGGCTGGAGTAAAGGAAGTTCCCTTTCAGTTCCCCTAAAGACCATTCTTTTTATAGTCTTTGACTCCCAGGGTACGTGTATATATATATATATGCTGATGTTCCTTTAACGAAAAAATGCTTGTCAGCTTCCAAGATCCGAGCCGGTTCCACCGTTCATTCTGCATTCATCCCACCCAATTCCTTCATCCTCGCTGCTCGCCCAGGCGGAATCGCACGCCCAGGGCATCCTTCACAGCTTGCGTGAGCAAACCATCCATGCTCGGATGGGCGTGCTGCTTGAAGAAGCCTCGACACACCGCGCTCGACACACGGCGCTCTCGCAGCAGGCGCGGATTTTGCGCGGCGGTCGGGCCCCCCAAGGGGAGATGGGACAACCAAGGGCCTCCAAGAGCGTCGAGGGCTCACCCGATTTCAAAAAGCTTCTCCACATGGATTTCAAGCAGCGTTTTTTGTAAACTTCGAATTCCACCCAGCCACTGAAGCCTCTAATTTCCCTAGCCACACCATGCCCAAACACTCCATGCCATATTTGAGATGATCCTTCAATATTCAATGATGGTCAATGTACGCAGGCATACATTCCAGTGCCATCCTCGTTTCGCCACGCGGAGTTCCGCCAGACCACTGAAACTCCCTCCCCCCCGAAACGTTCCCGTCCTGGGCTGCAGGAGACATCTGTGCCAGCGGCCAGAGCCGCCCGGATGGTGGCGCTCGGAGTGGAACGGTACTTCTGCAGTGCATACATGTCCTGAGGTGAAACGAAGCCCAGCACGAGCCAACGAGCAAACATCCCCACTCAAAACGTCCAAGGTGACGAGGCAAACCCTCCCAAGTAGCGATTCCCAAACTGCCCAAACCCACGCAACAAACCTGCGCCTTGGCCTGGTCCTGCAGCTAGGGCTCAGAGATCGAGTCGCAATCCGTGACGACGACCCCTTCGAAGCCCCACTTCTCTCGCAGCAGCTTGCGCAGGAGCCGCTGGTTGCCACAGGAGGGCACCCCGTTCACCTGGTGTTCAAACGGTCGGAGTGGCCCTCCGTTCTGACACCCCGGCTCCAAGTACCTGGTATTTGGACATATTTGGACCCTCGATCGACCCACCCCAGTCCCACCTTCGAAACGGTCCTTGGAGCTCTAGGGACGAAGTGCGCTAGATCATGTTGACCTATGATCAACAAATCTCCCTGCACTGATTTAAAGGCCCCAGAATGTCCTTGTTAGGGGGGCAGGGATAGTTGTGGGGAAGATGTGTTTGTTGTTTATGGCTTTTTTTTTATGTGTTAGTAAGATCTTTCTCTCTCCACCAGCGGTTCCACCCTCCAACTCCAGCTGTGAACAGCCCCACGACTTCGGGAGACTGCGCTTTCCACACCCCATTTCCACGCCAGCAGCCGCGCCAGCAGCCGCGCCTGGTTATAGGCGCACATCACTCCAAGAGCCTTCGCCTTCACACAGGACACCCAAGGCTCGTCGTAGGACTCCAAGAAGTCCCGCCGCGACACCACGGCGTCCCTCACGTCGCGTGCACCACCAAGTCCCCCCACACGACCCACCGCTGCTTCTTAGAACCTGACTGGCTTGATGCCACGTGCGGATTGGAAGATCGTCACAAGGCTCCTGAATGGGCTGATTTCCTTGACATTCCATGTGCAACTTGACAAACCCGCATCCCTCCCACAGCATGGCGTGGTGATAATTGGTAGTATCGTATCCAAGAATCCCTCCCAAACGACAGAGGTCAAGTGGCTCATTGTGGCGGCTCACATTGGAATATCCAGGGACTGTGTGTCTCATCGAGGTGGTCCTCGTGCGATCCGGACACCGTGGGTCAGCTCGGTCAGCTCGGTCCACAGGGTCAGCAGCATGCATTTTGATTTGGGGGTCAGCTTCATTGGTTGGGTGCAAGCCGATCCTCAACAGCAGGGGATAGCGAGGAACTCAAAATCTTTACAAAACAGTGATTTTTCGTTTACTGATCTGCTTGAGTCAAAAGGATAAACGGAATCAATCAGTCCTTTGTTGTTTCTACCACCTGGGCGCACTTGAAACAGTGCATCTCTTGCAGTAAATCCTATATGATCATTGATTGATATATGTTGGATATGTCTCAGAAAAGGACTGCCAAGTGGTTGTGGTTCCCTCCCAATTGGCCTCGTAATCCTCACCCACCCAGATCAAAACTCCGAAAAGAACTGGATGTTCACCTGCTATGACTCTAGACCTAGAACCTCAAACAAAAAAACAGAAAAACAATCGGATTACAGTGGTTAATTCTAGAAATCTGTCTAGAAATCCTTGTTGCGCCCGGCCGCGTTTGGCGCAATAAGCCGTTTCCCTGGACAGTCCAGCCTATTGAGTTCGGTGGGCCCCCCTTCGAACGAGTAGGCTGCATAATGTTTGCCTTAGAAACGGCCCAAGAATGGCCGTTTAACGACGAGTCCAGCAGATGAGTCCGCTCATGGAATGTCACATACTGTTACGGTACCTCTTGAAAAATTCCAGGTTCCAAGCCACCTGAACCAACGCTGGTTTGAACTTCACGGCGTTGGAAAGGTGTGGTGGTAGTTCTTCAACCAAGCAAAAAGTGTTTTCGGGGTTGTCGACCTTGGTGTACAGTGATTTGTACCCCTGATCACTAGCTGCACAAATGCCATGTTCATCCATTTTCGATATTCATGGGAAGGTGTGTGCAGCAGTAAACACTCGACCCGGGTTGTTGAACAATCAACCTCTGTGAGGAAGTAAATCGAACCTTCCGATTGGGGTTGCGAACAGATCATTCAATGCATGGTGCCTGGGAGTCAAAGACCTAGTGACTTATACTAAGGTGACGTGTCTTTAAGGTGACGTGTCTTTAAGGTGACCTGAAGCTCGGAAGCTCCTTTACTGCAGTCGCTCCAAATATATGTCTTTGGACTTCAGTGGTTCCATGTAAATGCCATGTATATACTGACGCAAACCTTACGCAAACCTTGTGTGTTCAACATGGAGTATGTGTTCCTCACGCCACAGATCGATATGACATAGATGCCCCTCGGAATCTCAAGGGCGCTTTGGGCTATTGCTCAGTCCTTGACCAACCTCAACAGATTCGCAACAAACCATCCCGTGGATTCACAAGTCGGGGTGGCTTTGCGAACCGCCGGGACAAACCTGCTAAACCTTCGATGACTGAGTCTGATTGAACGGCAACATGATCCACCTGTTGAAACCACTCGGTCTTTGCCCAAAGCGGCGGGTGTCGCGGCTGGTCCGTCCTACAGCTTCACGACGAAACATTCAATTTCACCTGCTGCTTTGGGTGCGGCCATGTGAAAACCCTGGCCAAGCGGCACGAGGCAGCCGCCTGTGGGGTGGTCTTCCCAGGCAAAGGGGTTTGGATGCCCCTCACCTCAGCGGCGAAGCACTTGGAACCCCCCGTGGCGGGAAGCAGGGTTGGCGCTCGGACAGTTCAAGCTTAGGCCCACCGGGGGAAGACGGAGACAGGGGTGAGCATGAAGCCACGGAGGCCGAAGTGGAAGTCGATTGAAAGGAAGATGAGTCCCAACAGCCAGGCTGAGTGATGGGTAGTCAGGATCATCCCTCCCCATTTAAGGAGCCGTGCACATCCCATGCAGGTAGGCTATTCGGGAGATCGCGGGACCATGGATGTGCGGAGCGCGAACTTCTTCCAGTCGAAGAGTCCGTTGGTCGATTGGAAGTCGAAAGAAGCCGCAGGTGAGTAGCTTTGAGTGCTGTGAATCGAATGATTCCAACACCCGTGGATTCGAAAGGAAAGCTTGAGATGCGGCTACATTCAGGAAATGAAAAGAACCCACGCCGTTTCATCCATGGTGTCATTGATGTCCTTTTCCAACTCAAGTGGATCCGCGCAACCCGCAGTGTCTGGTTGTGAATGGTCCACGAAGGTGCTTTGGAGTGATTGATTTGGAGCACATCCAAGTGCAATTGACCCTGGCGTGCTGCCATCCACTTGCCTTATCCCTTGTGCGGTCAGTATGTTTCGGCTCGCAGAACAAATCCACCTTTGTTCCTTTGTTGCACATTCTATTCGCATATGTTCCCCCTGAAGCCATAGCAATCAACTGCCTACTATTTCATGTCAGCGTGAAAGTCTGTTTCCATCACCTCAACCATGAATGTGGAAGTTGGTCCACTCAAAGAACAACTGCTGGAAAACACAAGTCAAAGAACTAAAACCCAACCCTGCTGTTATATACCCCCTTGTGAGAAACAAGGAGAATCCATGTAAGTGAATGATGAAATAAATCAGAATCAAAACCCAGCCCGAAAAAAAACGCAATAATTACCTTCAACCCTACAATCCTGACGAATCTAGATCCCCCCCCCACAAACGGAACCATCCATCTTACAGCCCTCCGAAGTCCCCAATCCCCGCCGCGCCGCGTAGGCTTCGGCGAAGGCCCCGGTGAGCTCGGGCGACTCGCCGGGCGTCTCCTGGCCGCGGCCCCAGCGCGGGTCGCGGAAGAGGTTCACGTTGAACTGCAAGACCAGGCCTCCGTAGCGACCTGGGAGGCCGATAAAGAGGGGGAGAGAGAGAGAGAGAGAGAGCAAGAGTAAGCGTAAGGGTAAGAGTAAGAGTAAGAGTAAGAGAGTAAGAGTAAGAGAGTAAGAGTAAGAGTAAGAGTAAGAGAGTAAGTAAAGTGCCATCATTTTGGGGGGGGTGAGTATATGTCAAGGTATGTGTTTGGTTCTGCGCGGGGTGAGGTTTGGAGCTGTGACAAGTTTGGCTTTGCACTGTTGAGGATTTGAAGTCAAGTGGAGAAGGATGTGATGTTGTGTCTGAGTTGATTTCATTTTGGACGCCAATCATAATCAGAATGAGAAGTGATATGAAGTGATGTCACACAGCAATAAAATGCACGTCTTATGCTGTAAATCCATATCATATCTCACCCATCAACCTCCAGACTTCTTTTCAAAACGCCTCTGGTGCCAAGAACCTCTCATCACTCTCATCCATTGACTCCCCATCCGTCTCCCCTCATTTTTCTCGTTTCTGCGGCGCTGGCAGAAAGCGCCAAGGGGCCCAAGTAGTCTCCCCACATCACGCCCACGTCTTGCAGGTATCGCGCCTCGCGGCCTACCGCGCGGCCCACCCGTCGGAAAAGGCTCCTGGAGAGTGCGCGTGGAGACAAAGTCCAAGCCTTTGCTCGTAGTAGTTTCTTGATACTAGTAGTAATGGCCGCCAACCTAGTAGCTTCTAGCTACCAGTAGCTGCTTGTTACTGGTAGTACATAGTGGGCTCTAACCCAGTAGCGATGGCCTCCAACCCAGTAGCTTCTAGTTACTAGTACTTTTCTTGTTGCTAGTATAGTAATGCCAGGAACAACTAGTAGCGTCCTTGTTCCTAGTGGCGATGCGCGTTGTTCCTAGTAGCTCCTTGAATTTGGGAGATGTTTCAAAGCGGGTTTGGGGGTCATTTAGGGAAGGCGCCCATTGCTTGGCTTGGAGAGGACACAGCGATTTCGAAGAAGACCCGTGCAAAAGGAGTTCCTTCATGGTTTCCCGCATCGCAGTTGAAAAAGATCCCGTGTGGACTGGCGGGGGAGGCTCCAAACTTTTTGAACAGCTATGTTCGGGAATTTTGGTCCCACGTTGCTATATAACCCCTGGTACATGACCAACAAATCAGCCAACCAAGTGCCCCAACAACCAATCTTCAGCGCGGACCATGCCGGACAGGGGCGACCCACGACCGAGGCGCCGGTTGAAGGAGGCGGCCATGGCCACGACCTGTGGGAAGCTCGTGGCTTGAGGTCGTCCGCCTGGAGCAGCATTTTCCGGCGGGTAGGCCTTTGATTGATTGTATCACACACACACATAAGAACTATATATAATATACATATATATATATGCAGAAGTTCATTCTGAAACGCATCCACACATGGTTTGGTGCGCCGCTCAGCCTTTGCAGAAAGGCATTTTAGCAGGTGTTTGCGCCTGTGTGCTTTGCATGATAGCGGAGCCCGGCTCCCTTAGAGATTGGGAAGTCGGTCTTTTGCGCCAAGGACTTTGAGGAGATCCTTTGTTGCTGGGGTGCAAATCATGAAAGAAATATGATGGACCTTCACATCACTCTTGGGACTAAGGACCCCAAAAGGTCGACAATTCACATCACTCCAGCTGCGAAGTGATTCTGCTTTGGACGAGCTTAGGATGACCCTGAGGCCCTGGGGACCCGATCGATCCGCCGCAGCCTCGATGTCATCGGACAACAGGACCCGAACATCGACTCCCACGTCCGGTTCTCACGTCCGGTTCGATCGCCGAGGTTGCGCCGTGCCGAACAAACAGCCAGCGACACAATTGGTGGCATCCAAAAGGTGCAAGTTGCCTCAAGGAAAAAGCCGGGAAGAGACAGGGCATTGGCTCCGTGGTCGTTCCAACATGGTAGGCCAACCACGTGGTCACGTGGAGGTCTCAGAAAAGAGGCTGACAAAGGAAGACTTGGAGAGCAGCAAAAACAAAAGGATGCCAAGAATTACATC